GAGCCCAAATTTCATATACGAGCTTCCTGCAGCGAGGTAATCAATCCTCTAGTTATAATCCCTGAATTTTGGCTATTATTTAGATCGGAGCCGGGATCGCTGAATTTAGCTCCGACCAGGGTTTGATGTGTTTTTATCAAGAATTTGACCCAGAGCCTAGAACTAATATCGACGGGGATACTGCAGGGGATATTAGGACGGTCTCGGATTTTAATTCGGGGTTCGTTCGTGAAATAGATGTTTTAGTACGGGAGGCTAGAACCGGTGTTTGAACGACCAGAAATGGTGAGGGATTAGCACGGCATACCGGGTTTGTCGTATCACGATAATTATATTGATGCTTAGAATTGATCTAAGTGAACTAGAATGGCATGATTAGGGGTGTATGAACTTTTGCGCTATATGTTGAACCCTGGATTGCTGTATAATATTATTGACTTGCCCTAATCGATATGAATCTTGTTTATGTGGATGATTGCATACATGTTGCCATTTGTGGCTTAACTGTTGATATGACTTCATGGTTGTTCGATAAGGGGTTTTGACATGGTGTGATATTATGGTTGTATTTGGATCCATAAGTGGGGGAATAAACTTCCCCGGGGTGATATTATGATGTTTAAGGAGGATGACTTGCACGAGGGTTTATCCCGAGGAAGTGCAATTATACGACTCCTGATTTACCTATGTTGAGCCAATTATGGCCAGGTCAAGTACATGTGCAAGTAATGAATTATGATTAAGCAAGATGAGATATGAATCATGTATAAGGATACCAAATATGAGTGTTGTGGTCTCACGGTCAACTACATTGTAATTAGGGCTCCCTGTGCTATTACTCTATTATGATATGTATGATAGTCACACCTCTCATGTGGTGGTGACTGAAGAATTCTTACGAGATATGACCACACCCAGAGTGGTGTCGGGGTATGACTACACCCATAGTGGTGTGGGGTATGTGTGACCACATCCGACGGGATGTTGGGGTATGTATGACTACATCCGACCGGATGTGGGGTATGTTTCCCGGGAGAGTTATTAGCATGGGAGTAGCCAGGCGCCTATGAGTAAAACATGATAAGATGCATATGCATAAGTCAAGGTGGTTGAGTCTTTTGCCTATTGGGATGTTGGAGGGCTGAGATCTGACCCAGTGCTTTGGCTTGTTTGTTAGATGTATGGTAGGGGTATGCTCTGTTATGAACTCACGATGCTATGATTATCTCACTCAGCTATGAGCTGACCCTCTTTATCCTTTTTCTCTGCTTATGCCATGTGTAAGCAGATCATCAGCAGCAGCAGTAGATAGGTGTATAGGTGGGAGCTGAGCAAGAGTTGAAGGCAAGATGAGGTATGGTCTTCAACTATTCTGTGGTTGAACTACTACTCGGGATTTTGGCCAGTGATCCACACCTTTTTGTAAAAATGTTTTGAGAACATTTTCATGTGCATACTAGCTTCGAATGTAGTGTGAGATATCCACAGGTGTGGAAAGTTGATGATATGTGTATATTTTTGTAATTGTGTAAGTTATGACGATTATGGCTTGTATTAGTATGGTATGCAGTTGTGTAGTATGAAACTGTGACTATGGCTATGAAAAGCCAATGCATATGGTTGTGAGTATATATGTTTGTGATGAATTATTTTGTAGGATAAGTTGCAAGAACTGTTAACCCATTACGCGAGTAATTCATGTCGAAATTTTATTTGGGTAAATTTTGATAATTAATGTAACGCCCGAGATTAATTCCGCTGCAATTGTATGAACAATATGATTAGGCAAAACGTATAGGGTAGGGTGTTACATGTTTTAAAGGGGTGGAAAAGGCACAACACTAATAAAATTAATCACAACTAATAAAATCCCACTAATGGTGATAATTTATAATCAATGGTTCGATCAAAGTTTGTGAACATTAAGAAAAAAGGGTATTGTCTGGAAGGGATGCCAATCCAAGTCTCCCAATGCAGCATCGCTCACCCGAGCCACTTTAAGACACCACTGAATAAAAGATCAATTGACAAATCATTATAATCAGTGTACATCATGAACAAAGAATAAAAAAATTAAATACCAATCAAGTTCTCCAAAGGGCAATTGAAACAACAATAATAAGCTCGAGAAGAAGGTAGCCTGGCAATCTTACAAATACCTGCCGGGTCGGATAAAATTCGTAAACACCGAGTTCAACTCGCTTTAATCGGTTTGACATTAGGTCGAATGGAATGGGCATCAATAAGCTTTTAAAACTCGTTGGCAACCCAAAATTCGTAAAACCAGTGTAAACTCACATTAACCAAGTTCGACCTAATGTCGTTGTGCCGCCCGAAAATAATACCGTAAAAATGTTGTCAACCCCGGGCTCAACTCGCTTAACAATAAAAAGAAAAAAAAATGGCGGAATTTTAAAACGATAGCAAAGGCAAGTAGGGAGAGTTTTTTAAAAAGTCACAATGACCCAACCCGGCAATTACAAAACATGTAAAACTCATTCTCAGTCCAAAATGTGTTAAAGCTGATTTCAACTCGGGCTAACTGGGTTGCATACCCATTGATTTAAGTGCGCAAAACTCGTTGTCGAGCCAAAATTCGCCAACACCATGTTCAACTCGCTTTAACTGGGTCAAGGAACGATGATAGACCCAGCATAAAACCCAAAACATTTGCAAGGCCGAAACAATGAAAAATTTGTCAACACTGGGTTCAACTCTTTTTAACCGGCTCGACATTAGGTCGAATGCAATTGATATCGATTTAATCGCCGGAAACCCAACATTTGTTTAACTGGTTTAAACTCGCTTTAGCCTGGTCAATTTAGGTCGAACACCTATTGATTTGTGATCAACTCGGGTTCAATTATCATAAGTTTATTAATCATAACCTAAAAAAAACTCCTCTGTGATTAGAAACACATTCTCAACACCGGGTTTAACTCGCTTTAATGGGGTCGAGAAAATGATGTTAAAACATGGCATAAACCCAAAACCATAAACCCAAAACATTTGCAAGGTCCGCACAACGGAATTTTTTGCACTAAAAGAACAATCAAACCCGGGTCGAATACGGTCGAACAGAATTCGTTTACACCGGGTTCAACTCGTTTTAACTGGCTCGACATTTGATAAAGTACCGATGATCTAAGTGGGTTCAAGTAGGCACAATATCCATTGATTTGGGTTCAATTTGGGCCCAATTGTCATAAAAAAAATTAATTAGAACCTTAGTGGGTTCAACTCTTTTTAACCGACTCGACATTAGATCGATTTAATCGCTGGAAACCCAACATTTGTTAAACTGGTTTAAACTCGCTTCAACCTGGTCAATTTAGGTCGAAAACCTATTGATTTGGGATCAACTCGGGTTCAATTATCATAAGTTTATTAATCATAACCTAAAAAAAACTCCTTTGTGGTTAGAAACACATTTTCAACACCGGGTTTAACTCGCTTTAACGGGGTCGAGAAAATGATGTTAAAACATGGCATAAACCCAAAACATTTGCAAGGTCCGCACAACGAAAGTTTTTGCACTGAAAAAATAATCAAACCCGGGTCGAATACGGTCGAATAGAATTCGTTTACACCGGGTTCAACTCGTTTTAACCGGCTCGACATTAGATAAAGTACCGAATGATCTAAGTGGGTTCAAGTAGGCACAATATCCATTGATTTGGGTTCAATTTGGGCCCAATCGTCATAAAAAAAAAATTAATTAGAACCTTAATGCATAAAAACCCCTCCAAACTTTGGTCAATTACAAATGACCACCACTTGTGATGGGACACTATGCAATAGTAACATTCTACTTGTACTTTTATAGAGATAAAATAATAATAATAATAATAATAATAATAATAATAATAATAATAATAATATATGGTTATATTTTTGGTGCACTCACTTTTTTGAGTGCATTCAATGCACCCGCCTCATAATCGTCATTCTAAGCATGAGATTCATGTGAAAACTATGTCAATCATCACTTGTGGTATGATGAACAAGAACCACATGAATTTTTACAAAATTCATTCAAGATTCATTTTAATTTGAATGATCTAGGGTTTAGAAATTTAGGGTTAGGGTTTACAGTTTGGGATTTTGGGTTGGCATTCAAAATTGAAGGTTAATAGGTTAGGATAATGGACTCATTAGTTGTGATTTTGTGTTATATCATCATACTAGACTAATGCTACCCATTAAAGTTCAAAATTTGATGTATTATGACCACTTTTAGAATTGGGTGCACTGAATGCACCCAAAAAAGTGAGTGCGCCGAAGTAGCCACCATATATAATAATAATAATAATAATAATAATAATAATAATAATAATAATAATGTGAAGTATAAGAAAGATTGTCTAATTAGAAATTTGTGGGGTTACCAATTTTAGACATTATGTTTTACTATCAATCTATCACTCTGCGAAAGAGGTCTAATTAATCTCACTCCAATATTATGTTCTTCAACTGGAAGAATATTATCATCAAACAAAAAATCGCAGATTATTATCTTTTCTAACACTTGCGTGCATCTCTAATATGGATTTAGTCTTACCAAAATGCCCTGGAAAAAAAAACTTCTGAGAGCATGAAATTTAATATTTAACTATAAGTCTTTTACTAAATACTCTATTTAATACGCATATATATGAACATATGTATTTTATACATTTAAAATTTGTGCTTTTGAATTAATGATAATTATTTATAATGTGAGAATAAATTAATAAAACGAGGGAGCGGAAAAACAGTAGTAGTCTGAGGTTCAGCAGAATTGAACTCGAAACAAAGCGCAAGGGCCAAAACAAACAAAAACAGATGAGAAGTACACAAATTGTTTCATATTTTCTTGTTCATTTGATGACTCCAACTAAACACATATAAAATTCGTATGATACGTTTAATATCGTATTTAATAAAAGGAATGAATAATTTAAATATTATTTTCCTAAAATAGTTAATTTCACGTATTTTGTAAATGTTGACGTATTATTAGACATTACATAATTTTATCGATTAAATAAAATATTTGTATGTATTTTATGTATAACTTTGAACAAAATATGATAAAACTTAAAAAAGCCAAATAAAAAAGAAAAAAGAGACCTATTCCCCAAGTTGGGGTGGCAGAATGGTTTTCGGTTAGCAGTTAACCAGACGGTTTTGACCGAACCGACCGGTTTTCGACTAACCAAAAACCGTCCTCATTTGTTGGCGGGCGATCGTCGGAGGAGAGGGGAAGAGGCTCGGCTAGCCGATTTATCATGGTCGAAAACCGGCGGTTAACCGGCTAACCGACGTCTTCCCGTTTACTCAAAAACAACCCCATAGGCCCGCACCATCCCCACCCAAAACGACCCCCAAGAACCCCAACTTGTTGGCTGCTTCTCCGTTCTCCCAAAAACGGCAAACCCCTTCCCTTCTCGCGCAGCGCCGCCCGCAGTCCGCCCACCCATTCCTCCTTCTCGCCGCCAGAAACCAAACATCGTCGCTGCCCACCCGCGCGCTCGCCTGGGCCCCACGCCATCGCCTGCGGGCTAAGACCGCTCCTTCCTCTCCCTCGACGAAACGCGAATCGCGACCTCGTCGCCCCTCACCTGCCACCCTCGCCACTGGCTTCTCGACCTCTTCGCCCCTCCACCAGCCACCCCAGCGTCTCCCGCCGCCTCCAACCGCGCGACCAGCCACCTGCCGCCTCCAACCGCGCCGATTTGTTCTCCTCCCTCCCCCGTCGGCGCCAAGCCCTGTAACATCTCCCAACGAGTTGTCGTCCGCCATTCCCCTTTTCATTAAAAAATTAAGGGTAAATACAATATATTAGCCATAACTATTAAGCAGCGGGAAATTATAGCCACAACTATCGAAATACAAATTATTAGCCATAACTATTGTTGCGAGTCAAGATTTGGCTAACAGCCCGTTACTGTATTCAAATTTTTAACGAAGAAGGTCGTGCCAGCTTCGTAAAAAATATGATATGATGATTGCCACATGGGAGCCAACTCAACGTCGTAAAAGCTTAGTTATCATTACTGACAGAAGTGTTAACAAACACTTAACGGTTGGCTAATAATTTGTATTTCGATAGTTGTGGCTATAATTCCCCGCTACTTAATAGTTATGGCTAATATATTGTATTTACCCAAAAATTAATTATGTAAGTTTATTAGAATGATGATTTAGAGTTTTGATGATTGATTATGAATGATGGTTTTGGTGGATTGATGATGATTTTGAATGATTAATGATGATGATTGGTGATGATGATGAACAACCACGAAAATACGATGTTTATCTGCTTATGAGTTATAATGGTTTAGTATGATGAATGATGATTTTGATTGATGAATGATGATGATTGATGATTTTGATGATGCTTGTTAGTTGTTACTTGTTAGAATTTGTGAAAATTTCTTTGAATTGGCTATTGGAGATTCAATTTCTTAATTTGTGTAATTGTTGATGTAGGGCGAGAGCACCGGCTGCGCGTGATGGACATGGCGGACGAGGTGCACCTTCCGCTGAGACTGCTCCTAGTGGTGGGAGACCTCCGGCTCCTCGAGGTCGGGTGGTGTGGGTGCCTCAGTCCCTCCTGCTAAGACTCAGGGTCGTGGTGGACGCTCTAGGAGTCAGCCTGTTCAATTTGCTGAAACGTTGGGCATCAATTGCATCGACTCCCGCCCATGTCGATAGTGTAAGTACACATGCTGCTGAGACTCCATCAATTGCACCGACCGACTGACAGCCCTATCCCCAACATATCGTTTTGGACTTTTTGCCCAATCTTTGAATTCAAAACCTGGTTGCAGTTGCAGCATTTCAATTTTCCCGCAATTCTCAAACCATAGATTTCCTTTCTCCTTGCATAAGAATACCAATTTCCATATAACTCTGACCGAGTGTTGCCTCCAGAGGCGCGACTTCTTTCAATCAAGCCGTGAACATGACCGAGAATTGCAGTTCCGGTCCGCTAAGCTCACTCCCTCATCCTTTCGCCGCCGGAAAATGGCTCCCGGTCTGTCCAGAGGCAAACCTTCCTCCTCTTCCCCTGAATCTGTTCAGCAAACTAGGAGACAATCTCCTGGTCGAGATTCTGATTCGCCTCCCAAACCCAAGATCCTTCTGCCGCTGCAAAGCCGTCTTCAAGTCGTGGAGAACCCTTATCTCCGATCCTAGCTTCAATCGCCGCTTTATTTCCCATCACCAGAGCAGGTACAAACCAGTATTTATGTTCCTTCCCGCACCCGACCAAGACTCGATCCTCAGCTTTCTCCCCGTGTCGGATAAGGCTCGACCGAGATTCAGAGTCATGGACTGTTTCAAGGACTTGCTTTTATGTGGATTTCTTGAGATTGAAACAACCAAATTGCGCAGATCCTACTTGGTATGCAATCCGTTTACCAAGCAATGGACAACCCTTCCATTGGGGCCTGAAATGACAGATTCAGGGTATGATGAATCTTTCGCAGCATTAGTCTGTCAATCCCGTAGTAATTGTAGTCTTGTGCAGCATCTAGACGAAGAATCAGAACCTGAAGCAATTGATTCTGAGTATGAATTCCCTGTGGTGCGTGTTCATCAATTTCTCATATCTACAGTACTGCAGGTGTTCTGTTCTGAGTCCGGGAAATGGTTGGAGATGTCGTTGGATATCACGATAAGTTCACCGTTCGCTGCAGTCTCCTAGAACGGGGAATTGTTTTGCGTGTCTTTCACCACGAGTACCCATTTGGAAACGTTGTTTGCATGCGATCCTTTCTGCCCTAATGGACCTCTCAAACCTATGATGTTTGCTCCGGTGCTGGGATTGAGCACTCTTGCAGTCTCACAAGGAGCTCTTCACATCGTTGTATTCGAAATGAAAGGTATACATCGTAGTTCAAGGAATGCCCTGAGTGTTTGGAGACTGGAAGGATACGGTGAGTAGCGTTTAAGCCTACAATATGAAATGGTGTTGAAGACCACATCAACACCAATACCATCAGTGTCACTATGGGGTGACTATGAAATTTAATAACTGCTATGTACTTTCTCTGCATCCAGAGAAGCCAGAAATTGTCTTCCTTCCATGTGCAGATCCCCTTGATGGATGTATCTACTCCTGCAATTTGAGGACAAGAACGGGAGAGCCAGAGTTGTATTCTACAGTAGCACCATTTAATTGTAACTGCCTTTGGAGGAAGGTGCAGCCTAGAGTCACTTGTTGGCTGACTCGCTCTTACCGTCACTTTAGAAAATGGACAAGTGTAACCACCTCCTAAAGCAAAGTATAGCGGGTTTGGGTTTTAATGTCAACCCGGGTCCTAGATGTGATGACTACTCCGTGAGTTCTTATTATTTAGCAGTGAAACTTTAGTGAAGATCCAAACAAGTAAACAAGCAAAGCGAGTAAAAAGGTTGTTTTCAAGTCGAGAGAGGTCACCCGGATATGGTTCCCCCTAGACTGCAATTAAGCCGGATTGTGATTTACCAAGTTCATTTTCAATGATAGTTATACTGCGGGAGGTTCTTAAACAGTCTGAAGTCTCGACTAAAGGTCTCCAAACCCTCTCAATCTGAGTCTCCAGCGGACGCCTAACCTCCACCGGAGTAAACAGATTGAGGCCCTAACGAACCAAACCTCCACTACTGAAGTAAATTCGGTACAGAATAGTGAATTGACTCCTCGACTAAAGTCGCCAATTCACTACCTTCAACCAAGGGTGCTCTATCAACCTAGGCAGATATTCTCTTTCTAGGTTAAAGCAGAAACAACAGGAATTTGATCACGATTCATGCCATTCAACAAATCAAACCTCAATTAATCATACCAATGAATCTGTACTTGGGTTCATACAATCAGACCTAACATAAAAATCTAGGGTTCTTCATACCCAGGTGAATAAGAAAACTACTCCATAGAGAGAGATGGGAAATCCAGCTCAGATGCGGAAACCATACTCTGAAGAATGATAATCTGCTTCTGGCACTCAATCAGGTCTTCTCCAAGCTCAAGCCGAGCTCCAATGGTGATGGAGATCGATCTATGACACTTGCAGAGTCAGGTTCGTCACTTTCTCTCTCTAGGTATCGCTCTGTCTCTCTAAAACTCGGAACCCTTCACTTTTGGCCTTCTTTTCCCTTAAGAAGCTGTCTGTCGCGATCCCCGGCCTGAATACCCGGTCGGGTATTTTGGGTGGCGATCGGGTATAAAGGTTGTCAACCCGCGGGTTGACCCGCGGGTCGACCCACTTTGACCCTGACCCGGTGAGAAAAACGAGTCATACGCACCCGCCGGGCCGACCGCTACAAGGTCAAATTGTGTCATTTTTTTCTTAGGTTTGCGAAATGAGCCTATTTTCTGATTTTTCTTTTCGCCTAACTCAATCTTTGGAATCCTAAGTTGAACATTTGAATATTTATGTTATATAAGTGTGTATGAATTTTCACTATATGTTGGATCTAAGTACGATATGTTATTTTGGCGTAATATTATATGCTATAAGTCATATGCTAGATAAGATTTGATATAATTGATGAGGATAAGTACAATATAATGACTTTTTCTATATTTCCGGGCCAAACCGGGCTAAAACGGTTGACCCATTAACCCTTGACCCACTAGTTTGACTGGGTCCGGGTCAACCGCGGGTTGACAACCTTTGGTATATTCAAAACGCTGCGTCTGAAGACAGGGGAAAATTCCCGGTCAATGCCAAGAATCCCCCGACCGGGGATTTTCGCTCTGTGCCCGGGCCCCCTTCTGCTTCTCAGAGACGCCTGAAGCAACAAATCCCCGGTCTGCTCCAAATAATACCCGGCCGGGTATTTCTGCTCATGGTCGGGTATTTTTCTCCTCCAGCACACTTCACCCCAAACGTGCTCCTTTCGACCCGAAATATGACATAAACGCACAACCTAGCGTGAAATCGGCTTAAAACACGAGAATCAACATCTCAAACGGCTCAAGAATTGGGGTAAAAACATGTGTAATCAATGGTCTATCAAACTCCCACACACTTAACCGTTTGCTTGTCCCCAAGCAAACCTGACTCAAACCAATGCAGCTCTCCAGACCTCTATAGCAACAAACAACCCCGATCGTCGGTAGAGGATTTTCTAGATCATATAGCAGCTTACGAGGTCAATTGGTCTTCTAAGACGTCCCCTATCTCTCTCAATGCGAGTACTAAACTCAAGCCAGGATCATGAGAAGAAGTATACGTAAGACAGTCAGTTCATGGATAAAGGGACTCATACCATTCTTAATCAAGGACTCGTTGTACCGGGGTGCTCTTTCGCTTCATTTCACCGTTGGAACCCCTTTTTCACTTTTATTTTACTTCTTTTTTTTTTCATTCACTTAGCGGGGGTTCCAACTGCAGTCTTTTGCACGGTCGACCCTTATTAGTCGAGCAAGAGCAATTTCTGTACATCTGGCGCTCGCTAGAGTACTTCGTTTAACTCCTTTTCCTCAACTCGTGTGGAGGGTCAATGAAATTAAGGGGGGTCGGAAGCTCTATCCGTGCCCTTAAAAACACATCCTCAAGTAGGCAAACCGTGCGCTTAAAAACACATCCTCAAGTCAGCCCAATAGTACATCACCCAAAACAAAAGAAAACAAACCAAAACCAAACCGGTTTACAATCCGACCCAAAACAAAAGAAATAAATGTAAACCGTGGTGGGGTTTCCTCCCCACAAGTGATTCTTTACCGTCTTTTAGCTGGACGCCCATGGTGGATACTCAGCGGGGTGCAGGGACAGGTGCCTCCAAGAGAGGATCCACATCGCTCTTGGGGTACAGCTTCAGATGGTGGCCATGAACCCGACGAGTGCAACCACCAGTATTGGTCAGCTCGACCTGGCCATCCGGCAAGATGCAGGCGAGTGAGTACTCGGATGGCCAGGGTGGTCGTGGTGCAGGAGGTGGGATCATCTCATATTGGTCGCCACCTTTCTTCCGAGCAGGCTTAGCCACTTGCGGCTTCGGCTGCCACTCCTCCTTGAGCTTTTTATTTTGAGGTGAGGTTGAAGTGGGTGGCGGCGAAGGCGTGAGAGGGGAGTCCTGCAAAACGAGAGGCACAGAAGGGTACACGACAGGCTCGTGTACCTGGTGAGAAATAGCATGCATAGGTGTGACAGCAGGCATATCACAATGATCTTATTCAGCCACAGAGAAAGTAGCATGTTCATTCCCAACACGCAAGGTTAGTTTACCACTATGCACATCAATGAGTGCCTTGGCGGTGGCAAGAAATGGTCTACCCAGAATCAAATGCACATCCACATCCTCATTTATATCCAGAATAACAAAATCAACAGGATATGTAAATGCGTCTACTTTAACAAGCAGATCTTTTATGATACCCCTAGGATGCACAATAGAGTGATCAGCTAACTGAATGCTCATCCTAGTAGGGCTAAGTTCACCTAGGTCTAGCTTTGTAAACAAGTTGTATGGCATGACATTGATGCTAGCGCCTAGGTCCGCCAAGGACTTCCCTACATGCATGCTGCCAATAGTAAGAGGGATAGTAAAACTCCCTAGGTCCTTGCGCTTTTCGGGCAGCTTGTTCTGCAAGATGGCAGAACACTCATCACTCAGCATCACCCCAAGTTTCTTCTTGTTGCTAAGGAGATTCTTCATGAACTTGGCGTACTTGGGCATCTTCGACAGTGCCTCCATGAAAGGTATGCTGACGTTGAGCTGCTTCAAAATTGCCATGAACTTGGAAAACTCAGTCTCAAGCTTATCATTGTGTAGTCGAGTGGGGAAGGGAAGCTGGGGTACATTCTCTTTAACCACTGGTTGTGGCTAGCGAGCAGGGGCTTCCGTCTCCACTCTCCCTTCTGCATCGTCGCCTGGAAGTGCTGAAGCAGGCAGTGGCTCTTCCTCCCTAGCCTGGGCAGGTACCGCCGATGTGGTCTTGCCACTCCTGGTGGTGATGGCATTCAGTTGCTGGTGCGGCTCCCATGGATTGGGGATGGTAGTGGCAGGTAGGGTTCCCGGTGCCCGGATATTGTTCTGACGAGCTATTCCTCTAAGCTGATGCTGAAGGTCCTGCAGTATTGTACCTTGGTTCCTCTGACCTGCCTCCAGCGAGGCCATGCTTTGGTCTATCCTGGTAAAATTTGCCTGACTGGTAGTCATGAATGCCGCTAAAATGTTTTTCAGCTCCGTCATCTGATTATCTAGAGCCGGAGCTGCGGCTGGCTCGGTGACACGCTATGACACAACACCTAACAATGGCCAAGTGTAACCAATGAAAGGGACTGTAGTATAGTGGCTCAAGTAATAAATATTGAATCCACGGGTCTCTAGAGTTACTATTACTCAGCTTTAGTTCATTATCTAGCAAACCAGATTAAGATGAAAGAACTCGAAGTACTCTAGCAAACTACAGTTAAAGTTAATCTAATTACAGGTTGGGAATTCACTTAGGTATGATTCCCCCTAGCCACTAGCCAGACTAACGATTGATGATTTCTAACTTGTTTCACTTTCATTCACATTGCGGAGAATCCTTGACTAGACCTTGAATCTCGACTAAAGGAACAAGGCCCTCTTGAGTCAATTGCCTAGAGGGACGTATCCTTCTCTAGAACAACCGATCAAGGCGTTCTAAACTAGATTCCCTCTATCGAATGAGGTTCTCAATCGATAAAAAGCAGTGAATCAACCCTCGACAAAGCAATCAATCCACTACTATCAATCTATGGTGCTCTATTGACCTAATCAGGTATTCGCTCTCATAGGATCAAAGCAGAATCAATAATCTCGACTAAAGAAGAATTGAATCATGAAAACATGCATAGATTGAATATGAACTCAAGATTATCAAGTCAGAGTACTCATACAATCATCCAATCAAACAAACATAGCTAGGGTTCCTCAAAACCTAAGTGAAGGGAAGTTACTCCATAGAGAAGAGAGAGACTGCAGTAAGAATCTTCAGATGATCAGTCTTCAATTCCAAGCTTGTTCCTCGAGCTTCCAAGGTGAAGAAATCCTCCAATTCCACTCTTAGAATGCCCTCAAATCGCCCTCTCTCTCTTTGGTTTGTCCCTTGGGTGTTTGGGATAAAAAACCCAGCTCTCCCTTTCCTTTGGCTTCAATCTGCCTAAAAAACCCGATTCTGGGAAAAACACGGTCGAGGACACGGCCGTGTTTTACTTTTTCCCTCCCGTGTTTTCCCCCAAGCATCCCTCGTCGGCCAAAACACGGTCGTGCCTAAATATGGACACGGCCGTATTTTTCTTTAGGCCAGCCCAGTTTTTACTGCCGAACATGTTCCCTTATATTCAATGTTTCGTTTCTCCCTCGTCCGGACTCTGAATCAGTCATCGTTTTATCCCAGACGCTCGTAGTCTCGTCCTCTTTCTTTTCATGACAAGCTTGCATGATTCTTTGTCCATAAAGTGAGGTAGAAATCCATTCTTCTTCAAGTCATGCCCAAGTTTCTTCTCCCTAATCGCCAATTGATCTCTGATTGACTTGAAACTTACGCCTATGCTTCACTTTATGTGCTAGGACCTGAAATGTGACAAAGGAACACAAAGGGGAAAACATGTGCAAATATCGAGTCATCAAATCCCCCCACACTTAACTGTTTGCTTGTCCCCAAGCAAACCTGACTCAAACCAATGCAACTCTCCAGACCTCTATAGCAACAAACAACCCCGATCCTCGGTAGATTACTTTCTAGATCATAAAGCAGCTTACGAGGTCAACTGGTTTTCTATGACGTCCCCTATCTCTCTCAATGCGAGTACTAGACTCAAGCCAGGATCATGAGAAGAAGTAGAAGTAAGACGGTCAATTCATGGATAAAGGGACTCACACCATTCACAGCCAAGGACTCGTTGTACTAGGGTGCTCTTTCACTTCATTTCAACGTTGGAACCCCTTTTTCACTTTCATTTTACTTTTTTTTTTCTTTCTCATTCACTTAGCGGGGGTTCTAATTGCAGTCTTTTGCACGGTCGACCCTTATTAGTCGAGCAAGAGCATGTTTTTGTACATCTGGCGCTCGCCAGAGTACTTCTTTTAACTCCTTTTACTCAAATCGTGTGGAGGGTCAATGAAATTAAGGGGGGTCGGAGGCTCCATCCGTGCCCTTAAAAACACATCCTCAAGTAGGCAAACCGTTCAACGGGTGGAAGTTTTACTTGTACTAGAGACAACTTAGCTTCACCTTGTAGGAGTACCCCACTAAGGATCACGAAAATCTCTTCCAAAACCCGATTTTGTGCAATGAACGGTGCCACACACGTTGGGCTTACCCCATGTTCAAGATTTAATGACTTCGACATGGAGGACCAACTGCATTTCATTTTTCACATGAGCACCCTGTTCGATACACGAGTCCATAACACAATCCAAACAGAGTCACCATTACCCCATGAATTCAACGGTCTTAGCTCCACTAATTCACAAATCAACTGGCACAACAGAGAGCTAGATAGGAAAAATCTTATACTTCAACATCCTCCATAGTGTTACACTACCTCCCTAGGTTGCACATTACTATAGAGACTGTCAATTCAAAGCATACTGAGCAGGCAATT